CGCAGCATTAACACAAGAATGGAACAACATTCCCTTAAGGCGAATAAATGTTCTCATGAATTCAATGCATAGGAGAATCCGTGCAGGGATTCGTGCAAAAGGTGCCCACACCAGGTACTGAAGTGTCATTTTGTTTTTCGCGGGTATCCCACTTTGAGTAACTACTGATGACACGAGTGACGTCACACAGACTTTTCTTCTACAGTATTGTAAAGAGTAGACTTGTCCCTTCATATTGATATAAAATTTTGTACAAATTTCCCAAAATATCATAGGCTATTGATTGCATAATTTAATTGTGCGTTTCTTTTTTTGTTCAGTATATATAGGTCTCATAAGTAATAACGACAGTATGATCCAATATTGGCACTAGATTTATGGGCAAAAAACCTTTATGCCCATACACATTATATTTATTTTACAATAATTATGAAACAAGCTATTTCAAATTATATCAATCACTCCTGTTGGCCGGATGTTAGCGTGCGGGGGTCTATTATACTGATAGAGGAAACCGGAGCACCTGGAGAAAACCCACGTAATCGGGCAGCTGACCCTATGCGTTTTCACATCCGATTGGGATATTGAACCCTGGTCGCCTTAGTGAAAGGCTAGTCACTGCGCCACTGTCAACCTTATTAAACGTTTTATTCATAATATAGACATAGTTATATAAACAGAACTACTCAGATAATAGACTTGTAAATGGACGTGAAACGATGAAATATGTCAATGAAATTATTTTTATATCAAATATGTCTATATGAAACATGTCTATATAAAGCATACTGACATGTATTATTATCAAACTATGCTTGTTGACTTCACTGTTTTGTAGTTTGACAAGATTATTTTCAAAGTCGACTAAGTTTCTTATCAAGTAGTTATATACAAACGTGTTTTGAAAGAACAACGCATGTACACTTCAGAAAAACAGTAATTTGAGCTAAAAATCGGTGAAACTAGGACAAAATATGGGATTTCAAAAAATGAAACGTGGTATCTTAAGAAGAATAAGGAGAATACTTACTTCACTCCATACTCATTGCTTTAGAAGTAAGATAGTCAAAACAACACTCATGGAATTTGATAATTTCGGTGATTTTTGTTATCAAATTTGATAGAGCAATGGTATATTCATGTTTGTTAAATCCTGAAAGCTGGTACTGTAAAAATGTGAAAGCTGGTACTGTAAAATGTGAAAGCTGGTTCTATAAAAGTGTGTAAGCTGCTACTGTAAAATGTGAAAGGTGCTACAGTAGAAATGTGAAAGCTTGTACTGTAAAATGTGAAAGCTGCTACTGTAGAAATGTGAAAGCTTCTCCTGTAAAAATGTGAAAGCTTCTACTGTAAAAATGTGAAAGCTGCTACTGTAAAAATGTGAAAGCTTCGTGCTCCCTTGGAAAGAAATACTATTTTCCCCTGCAAACTTAATCAATAAAGTGCATATAATTGAGCATGCCAAGAAATAAAATGGACAATGACAATGACAGATTTGATAATTTTCTTGTCTGCAAACTTAAAATCGAAAGAAAACCCTCCAGATTAAAATAAAAAATTGATGACTCATTTTCCTTAAACTTCTAATTGTTAACGCAAATTATTTCTGCAAAATAGTATCTAATGCCTTATTTACAGTGTTCGTGATTGATTTATAGGAGGTGGTCTTGTTCTGATTTGAGATTGCTATCTGACGCTCTATCACTATGTCCTATTTGGGAAATCGGTAGCCTAAAACATAACACAATGTTACTTCTAAATGTTTTACGTCACATTGCACGTTGACACATGACTGCTATAATGTTATCACGGTTAACAAGGTGTTCGTTTTCTTCCCTAGATGGACACCCAAGTGACACTTACTTTTGGTTGGGCGGAAACGACATGTTTGTGGAGGGAGACTGGGTATGGAAGGGAAGCGGTCATCGTTTTAGATATACACACTGGTTAAAAGGCGAACCAAACAATAACAACGGGCAGGACTGCCTATTATCGCATATTAGTGGCACTCGCTTTTATTGGGAAGATAGGGAGTGCACATCCAAATACAATTTTGTTTGTGAAGTCAGGTATGTTATTTTTAGCAAAGAGATAATCATCCTCGAAATTCCAGGAGTAAAATACACTAATGATGTCTGCACTCTGGAATATTTCATGACAAAATTAAAGGTATGAAGTTTACGATTTCATTGGTTTTAATTATCAATATGTAGGATGATACCTGTCATGATAATGTCAAAAAGGAGTGACACCCGCTTTTAAAGGTTTCTGGTATCATCCGCAAGATGGCGCATACAGAGCCTTCAATTTCCTCGTGACACAATCCAGAGGTGCAAAAATGTATAAGAGCGTAACCTAACCAAAGTTAAAGTAAGCCCTGGATTTCCAAAGATGATATATACTATCACTAGTCGTCTAATGCTACATCGAATAGTATTGGATTCTTTCTCATGCCAGGTAAATTGTATAGGTCTTGTTACATGTATAACACAGGTTTATTAATTTATGTGAACGATGTTCATAAGTGTATACTACTTTCAGCACTTAGAACTTGATACTTATTTTCATGTGTGTTCTTCAAAGGAAACAATTCATGCAAATTTCATAAAAACAACTATAAATGATGTTTATATTTAACAAATGACGCCTATATCCTTTTAATTATTGTAATGTATATGAACTATAATGAGCTAAGTCATTATAAATCTAGAGCTTTAATGAACTTTCTTCATATAGGCCTAAAATGAAATTCAGCAGATTTCACGTTCAGATGTCACGATCATATATTTTATTTTAAAGGATTTATGGCAGTTATTTACATTCTGGAGATTTTATGCATACGTTTTATGAGTAATATTGGCTTTATTTTCTTTTCTTATATCATTTTGATTTAAAATGTATCCCTAAATTAGAGGAATTGAAATGGGGATAGTTAATGTAGATTATAATACTGTCTTCTTGTGGGGATACCAGAAAGGGACCTGCTGCCACTATTGTAACATTTGAGAACACTATCGTTTCTGAACTCAAATACATAATATCTGTATTGACGGTGTCTCCCTCAGTCCTTCTGGATAGATAACGGATTGTCAGAATAATGGGACCGGGTTGAGGGCCCTGTACCGCATCTAGCTTATGACGTTTCAATGGAAAGGCAATTCGTTATTGCGGGGGCGTATAATGAATGTCCTTTTAATATACAAACCAATGTTAAACTAGTTTTTTTTCAAGGAGTGGATCGATAGTTTCTTGCATTCAAACTTCGACCATCTTTTCTCTAATATCTATTTTAAAAACGAATTTGAACATAATGTTAAACTCAAAAAGTTTGATAGTATCAAAAATACGAAGAAAACAACCGATATAAAGAATTCTTGGAAATATTATCATTCGTTTCCAGTTCTACTGAAGTTGTTTATACTTAGAAATGTATCCCTGTGAATATGTTAACAATATATATTTAGAAAAAACCCATTAACATTCATAACTTAAGTAGCTATGGCAGGGAAACCATCTTGTGTATGAATAGTTGTTAAATAACTATTACATTTAAAATTGTAATTATGTTCTTTTCAGCAGTGGTTCCGGCGCAGCCGTTATAGGATGAAGTTTAAGCTGTCGTAAGAAGAAGGTCATTGATAATTTTATTTTGTTGGTTTGAAAGAATAAACTTCGTTTAAAAACGTGTTTCTTTAATTTTGCGGTCGATGATAGAAGTATAGCCTCAAGGGGAGCAATCACCGCTTGTCTAGGATTCATTTCGAATCATGGCATCTTGTATAATGACCGAAATATATGAAACGCATTGTAAGTGGATATTACGTTGCTTCATCACATCTTTAATACAACCATCTAACCGGGTGTGTTTTTAAAATTTCAATCCAATTAACATACAAATTGCCCACTGTTGTGTCATGGGAAGGAAAATAGAATTGATTTCTTGAAAGACAAACATGTGAGACAACTATAATTACACAAGCATATCTACTTTCTGGTACTACACACAGTCTTTTATACATATCACACGTAAGTTCGCATTTGCCGTTATAGACAGACTTTGCAGACAATCATTTCTTTAATGTTCTCGTCACGAATGGCATATCTAACACTTATTACCCCTAATAATATATGGTCACAAATCACCTCCAGATGATAGCGCAATTGTGCTGGTTTGAGTTAATAGATTGCATGTTCTGAATTTTGTTTTGCTAAGGATTGACTAGTAGTCCATGATAATAGTTATAAACCATGTTCATCTAAATCTAACAGCAGATAATTCGGTTTAGTATGGTTTAGTATTGTTTAACGTCCTATCAACAGCTATGGTAATTTAAGGACGGCCTCCCCTGTGTGCAAGATGCATGCGTGTAGTGTATGGGTGTGTGTTTTGGGAGGCTGCGATATGTTCGTGTTCGTCTCCTTGTAATAGCGCGGAACTGATGCCGACTTTATAATGCTACCTCACTGAAATATAGTGCCGAAGACACCCAGCAGGACACCCCACCCGGTCACATTATACTTGCTGAGCGTTAAGCATTTTTACCATTTTTACAGACTCTGGTATGTCTCAGCCAGGGGACGTCAGAACCCAAAGCCTTCCTGACAGGGGCAAACGCTCAACTAAAGGCTAAAAGTGAGGCATTGTCAAGGGAGACATTAGGAAGAAGAAAGTTGTTTAGAAAGAAGAGAAAAGATAAGATCCCAAATTTAGTAGCCTCATAAGATCATGCAATGGGGGCAGCAGGTACAACTATTACGCTCTACCTGCAGGGACCCGTAGATGATTCAAAACAACATTTTCCTATATGTATGATGATTCTTAAATTTTGATGATTTATTTTAGCATTCTTTCGTGAAATTAAAGCAATTGGGTTAAGGTCATAGGAGTGTATTGCTAAACGGAAATAGGAAGTACATCCTTAGTTGAAAATCCAATGTAGGGAGACAGTATCACAATTTCCGCATAATCTAATGTTTAATATTAAAGTGATGAATATTGTATGCTTATTATTGACAGAACAGTGTGTTCTTTCAATATCAAAGTATTGCAAAGCAATCCAGGCATTAATTCAGTTGTTTTTTAATCATTGAGTCACATGTGTCCATTTTTCTGTACTTCAGAAACCGGCTACCTATTTCACTACTGTGAAGTTTTTCAAGAACGATAACTCTTGCATGCAATTACTATGTGTATATGCTTTTATTATAAAATGTCAATTTTTAATCGTTTATAGATAATTAATTGTACACAATTTCAGCATTTATGAAATTGATATACATTAATGCAATACTAATCTATGTAAGTATTTTTTTATTGACATTATTTTGCCAAAAATTGTGTTTTTTCAAAATTCACTCCATTTTACATAAATTTCCTTTTAAAATCCTTAAAATTCTGACAACCTATATTTTTTTTGTGCCAGAAAATTTTCTTTACTTCAAAGCAATAAAGCTACAAAATTTGAATAAATTCTACTGAGAAATGGCGACGCAATCCTATTACCTTAAGTAAAATCCTAAACTTGGCCTATCGGTTAGTGAGAACTCTAGCGATACGTTTGGCTTTCGTAAGAACATTACGTAAATGTATTGGTCACTAAAGGCTAAGTGAGAGCATCAACGAAACATATTGGTTAGTGTGAGCCTTATGAAATTGTATGTTTAATGAGAATATTAAGGAAGTGTAGGGCTTAGTTCGTAATGTATGGGTTAGAGAGATTTTTAGGGGAACACACAAGTAAGGACATTAGAGAATGTATGTGTTCAGTTAGAACAATAGGAAAGTTTTATTTGTCGAAAATTATTAGGAATATATTGGTTTGTTATAAGGTTTTAAGACGATGTTTGAAGTATGTTTCTTATGTTACTCACATATTGTCGTAGATAGAGGATTATAAGTGTGATTGTAACCTGTCGTAAAAGAGGATTTTACCAACGAGTGTGCGTAATCTACACTGGATGGCCTTCACCCATGTTTGTTCATTGACTTATCAGTTTCGAAGCTTGCTTTACACATAGGACGCAAGTACAAATATTTCAACGCCACTGTCAGTCTGAAGATGAATACAAGGCGATTTTGTCTTCTCCTAATTGCTATATGAATACAAGGTAAATATGATAATTACATTATTGCGAAAAGAATTATTTTCCTATGTGATATTTCTTATGATGTCCTACATTAATAATGATATTGTATGAAAATTAGAAACCATCCGCACTTTACGGAGCCAACGAGTGTAGTTTACGATGATATATAGTATTGAAACGTTTGTGAATCAGCACAATACATTTTATATAATTGAAATTACAGAATTCTTGAAACAGCGTGTCATGGTTTTAAAGGCTGAAAACGAAACACACAAAAGCCAGATTATAAGCATGTTAATGTGTTCTTTTTGGTTTATTTGTAACAGAGATTTCCTCGAGCGATAATGGATGGGAGGCACACGATGGGCATTGTTATTACTTTGGTGATACCAGAGTGATCTGGGCTACTGCATCGGTGTATTTTTGTATAATCATTTATGTCTGAAAAATGCCCAATCAATCCTAATAGTCGGTAGTTTGAAGACGAACAGTCCCTACATATTGTAGCGTACAGCATAAAAACATACTTTTTTGGCGCAATGAGTACAACAATCCTGATTGTTTTAATGGGTTGTAGAACATTTGCTGTAGTTCTAATGGGGTATTGAACAATTGTGATAGTTGCTGGTGGCCAGCACAATAATTGTTATAATTTGTAGTGGAAAGAACAGTAGAACAACCCCTATTATCTAAATTTGACTTAAACTGGGTGTTACAGCCACCCTAATGGTAGGCAGACGAATGCACTGTAAAAGATAGATTAAGTGGCCAAAAGAACATCTTTTGAAGAAAGTAGTGAAATTGAACGATCTAAAAGTTGGTATTGGACAATGGACAACCACAATAGTTGATACTGGACTGGGGAACAATCTCTATAGTTGGTATATGACAATGGGAATGATTAAAACTTGAAAAAAAATTGTGTCTTATTTTAAATGTGTCAACTAAGTTTATCGTTTCCACTGTATTGACTTAATCATTGCTTACTTATTGATTATCTCCCCTTTCTTACAGCATTTGTGACCACAGTCCACTGGGCACACCCCTTTCATGGTCATGTAATCATGATTGGCCATGAAAGGGGATTATGTGTGCAGTGGACTGTGATAGCAAGTGATTTATTGCCAACAGTTTTCCATTGTGAGAGGTGGGAAGTATATGCAGTAAGACCGTAATGAATAATATTTGTCATTTACATTCGTTTGCCTATAGCTCCCCTTTATCTGGGTTTTCACACACCCGGCCTTACCAAGGAGTTACGTAAGTGCCCCGGGCGGAGGAAAACTACGGTCCATGTACATGTACACAGTGGTTATGATTGCCTGTATAAGGGAATGTGTTGTAATCTAACGAGTGTCGATTAAGGATGTTTAAAAACACCGGAAACACAATTTCTAAATATAAGAATGTATAGACAGAAAGATAAGCTTATAGATGTAGCTAGAGTATAGAAACATACGTAAAAATCAAGTTTGTATGTTTAAAAACGAAACCGTATATATCGTTAAGGCATTCCTCAATATACACCAACCACGATTGTTATCGCACAACGTTCGTCCATCGTGCGCACAGATGTTGCGCATGCATCATCGTCCAGCTTTTCATCGTTCGCACATTGTGCACACACCGTTCACACCGCACTACATTTGAATTCAGCTGACGAACTTTCGTTAGTCACAACTAAAAAGGTAACAAAATGTTATGTTTTCTATCCGATGCACTTTAGTAAGTGGTAAGATACAAAATGGCAACTTCTTTCTTTGCAGATGCCCAACAAAGTTTATTCATAAACGAAAAATAGTAAATGACGACGAAGTCATGATTTCAGTTTCTGAAGCACTCATGAGTATACAAATCTGATCATATTAATTGCTTCCGTACAGCTGGACTCAAGGAGATTATTAACTACTGGCAGGACGGTAGTGATTCGGTCCTGAAAGGAGAATGGATCTAGACAGAGAGTGGGCAAAGACTGTTCTACACCGACTGGTCTCCTGGTGAACCCAACGATAATACAATAGTGGTAAAGCAGACTGCTTAGTGCTTCACTGTAATATGTCCTTTAGATGGGTTGTATAGTGAAGTTTAAGAGATTTTAAGATCAGATATTTTAATACAAAGGATTGAAGACGGTTATATACATTCGTGAGTTTCTATAAGGTAAACAATGCTGACACTGATATGTACACATTGTATGAGTAATATAAGCTTTATGTTATTCTTTTATCTAATTTCATTTTGCTGTAAATTATATCTCTAACTTTGAGAAAATAAAATGAGGATAATGGATAAAGGATGTTATATTGTGACGTGTATAGGTTTCTTTTGTGTTAAGATACCAGATAATCTAAAACGCACCTGCTGCCACCATTGTAACATTCCCCCTATGTACTTCTGGGTTACGGATTGCCGGAATAATGTAACCGGGTTAGGAGTCATGTTAACGTATCTAGGTACATAATGAATGTCTTTTTAAATCGCAATCAATGTAAACTACCTGAACATGTCGATGTATTATTTCCCTTAAACTTTTTGGGTCGAACGTTTCTCGCATTCAAACTACCGTTATCTTTTTCTTCAATTTCTATTTTAGA